CTGTATCATGTAAAATTTAATCTAAAAATCTTGTAAAATTCAAGTCTTTGAAAAACATTGCCTATTTACAGATTTTAGTACTCTTATTAGATTTCCCTACTATTCTGAAATAAAGCTATTTTCTTATTAAACTATTTTTAAAAGCATTTTATGTACTTTACAATTTATGTCTCTGGGATCAAATAATTGCCTCCTATTCAACATAAAATAGCCGGAATACTAGGTTGCTGTGGGCAGCATAAATAGATGGCAGTGAATATTTTATACCCTAAATGCATTAAAGATAAAATGAGATTTCCTTATCAAATTCAAGTATCTAATCTGTAGAAAAAATATTTGCAACAAAGCTAGATCTTACATGGTTAGAATGTTTTTAATGGAAGGCCTGGGATATTGCACATTTATGTGCAGGATGACACAATTTAAAATCTAAAGAAAACAAAAATATACCGGTTGAGCAGTTCTGGTGGTCCTGGAATTGTGGAGGGCACAACTCTCAAAAACTCTTCTTCTTAAACTCTCAGATAGTGTTTCCTTAAAATTCACAGGTCTTTTTCCTTTGTGAGATTACCTGTGTACTTAATATTCATCTCAGATTGTGGGTGTTGGGGCACTCAGAATACTTAGTACTCTCACTGCACCAAAAGATTTGTTGTAGTCATCAGATTACTTTACAATGCTCAAAGGGTTCATGCAAGGCATTACCATAAAAAGAATTTTCTAACACTAGAACTAAGCACTGCGTTTATGCTTCTATTCCAGTTTTCTTTAGTCACCAAACAATTTTGTAAAATACTTGAATACCTCTTCCTTTCAACATGTTTTAACCATATACACAGAGCCTGTCCTATAATGCAGGAATAAGGGCCCAATTTTCAAGAACTGATAGTGCTCTTGGAAAGTCAGTGTTATGTATTCTGGAATTTTATTAAGTTAAAAAAAAAATCTCCAAGGGTGATCCATTTATAAAATCATTCTGTGAATTAGATTATGTCAAATAATCTGCTGTTCAACAGTTTATGCCTGATGAAATCTATGAGGATCTTTGATGTTTTACTGAATGTAATCTGAAATAAGTGTTTCAGAAGTTTACAAATACCTCATTTTAAACTAAATAAACAGTATGTAGATCTGTACATTCCTGAATGAAGGTACCATTAGTACTATTCTAGTATCACCTATTGGGTGACCCAAACATGGTAACATTGCACATTGGTAATTTTTTTTAAAGGTGACCAATTCCTAAAGTAGTGTTGTGATTCTAAGTAACAATACAAAAATAAACATAAAGCAAAGAATTCTGACAAGACAATATGACATCTGTTAATTAAAGTGACAGCACCAACTATTTTGCATTCCTGAAGAGTTTATGAAAACTGGGCCTAGTGTACAAGTAAGAAGTTCAACAGTATTACCTACATTGATCACTGCATTACTTATTAAAGAGCCGAAAAGTCTATTTTTTAAAAAAGGTACTCTTTTTCAAATTAATGTTTAAAGACAGGTCACTCACAAAATGTTATGTGTCCTTTCTCCTGCAATGTTCACAAAAGTGCATCAATTAAGTCAGTAGCCTCACTGGTACTTGAGGCAACATCCTTATTTTATGCTACGTAAGACAGCTGAATATTGATTATTTTGTTTACTACTGTATCCAGGATACAAAGCATTATGTGGGGAGCATCTATGAATACACCACAGCTCTTGAGCTCCTGTCCCCAAAGTCAAAGAATCTCTGAGGCAGCATCCAATGCAGCATAAAGAAGCCACACTTGGACAAGGAAATTAAAAAGGCCCTGATATGTGTGCAGAATGAGAGTCTGAATCCTGGCCCTTACACATAACTGCAAACAATGCAAAAAAAATATATGCTTAAAAGGATTGGTATGAATGTATAGGCACAACAAGTAGCATAATTTCAGAATGCTACTCAAAGTCATGTGGCTTACTGACTATATCAAAGAGCCTCTAGGGTTAGGTCACCCATAGGACTCAAAAATTCTGTTTCTAATAAATCTCATTTATCTCATAACAAAAGGAAAAATTACCAACTGCCTCTCAATTAAGTTAAAATCTAAGATACTAATTAAGATTAATTTAACCTGCTATTCCTTCAATTTGTTTGAATTATGGGGCATTTTGGATGCATCTGGGGCAATATTTGGCTGCTGAGGTCCATCTTATTTGAACAGTTCCACTGCAGACTAGAACAACATTACTGTATCGGAGTATGAAATACAGGTATGATTTTCAGTCAACCTTTTTGGCACATTGAATACAGTGATCAACTGGGGGTGAGGTTGGAGAGGATTTCCAAAGCCCTGCCTCTCTCTAACAAAACTAAAATTTGCATGTTATAATCATAATCATTACTCTGCACAAAGAAAATCAAACATTTATAACAAGAAAAACAATGATAAGAAAACAAGCAAGTTTGCCATAACAGAGGATTCTACCCAGTAAATAACTTTCATCTAATACAGAACATCCTTACCAGAGCCTTAAAAAACTATGCTGAAAACTGTTTCTTTGTTTTTACATTTAATTTCACTGTATTTAAGTGTAAACATTTCATAATGCACAATGAGGGGAGTAACTATCACAGCTTACTTTTTTTAAAAAAAAGTGGTGAGGGGTACAGACGTGATGGATTTTGAGGGGAAAAAATAAGAACACATTTAAATAACAAAGGGAGCAAAATGATACTGGAATGCCAGCATAAGAATGGCAGGGATTACTAGACACATCATCTAGCCCTGCCTATGCTGTCTGTGGGCCTCAAATTCCACAATTTTATGCAAATTCTTAAAGCTTAGTTTAGAAACAGAAATGTTCAAATTAAAAAAAAAGGCTTTAAATGTGACAAATCTAGGATCAAATTTGTGAGCTATAGATATACCATTCTTAATTTCACATGCTGTTTAAGCATTTGGTGACTGCAACTTTAAAGATAATCTTTCAGACAACTGACAATCAAGGCCCCATATTTTTTTTACAAAGGCCTTTCTATAAAGTCTGAATTTTTTCTTTGTGCTTTCCTTCATTTTTGGTTTGTTTTGATCAAACTAAGGATATCCAGGTATCTTTTAAATGAGTGAAATGCTTAACCCATTACATTTATAACAAGCCAATTAAAATTCAAAGGAGAAAAAAATAAAATATGATTTAACCATTGAATGAAATAGTAGACTGACCCCCCACCATATGTACAAATTGAAACTATATGCTTGCTTTTAAAATCTGCTTATTTTACTTTTTAAAGTGAAAACAAAAAGAAAAGGGATTAGGAAAACATACATAAATTCTTGTTTGGGAGTTGGCTAACCTATTCTCTTGATCTTATGTTAAAGCTAGTTTTGTTTTTTCACCCACTCCCCCCAGCCAAGAAAATCTGATTAGTAATAAAGTGAAATTCAGCTATAAATAAGAAATAAGTTGTCACTCTAAGAGGGATATTAAAACTATCTAATAAAAAATCTTGATTTTTGATGTAACCTGCCCTTACTGTTTAGGGAATTTGAAAGCAGGGGGAGAAGAGAAGACAGGCACACTTTGTTGAATCAATGTAAGAGTTATTAACAAGAAAATCTTAGCTTCAGTTCTGTTTTAAGGCACCATGTAATAGCCGAGGTACAATGATCCCTGATGTACATTCTTAAATGGCAATGGTCCATCTAGCCACCTATTCAATTCTATGCAACTGGGAAATAAGTACAAGTGACATGTGCCAGTTTCACTGTCTTTTAACATTTTATGTAGAAAATGAAATCCACTTAAGAACCAGGAATTATTTTGAGCAAAATTACAATGCAGGTTGCTACATTCCTTGCATCCAATAATCTATCTTTAATAAGAGCAGCAGATTGAACTATCAAGAGGAAAAGGACATAGAATAAAAAAGTCATCTGAAAGGAATGGTTTCCTGCATGTCCAATTCAGCATAAGTAGCACAGACATTAAAAAAAGATACTTTTTAAGCTTCAGTATCTAACATCTGCAGTCCCACTAAAGAGCAGAAACCATCTGCGTAGTGGTCCCACATGTTTATGAGGCACACAATCCACCAAGTACTACAGAAACACAATCTCCACTCATTTAAAATGTGGTTTGACCCTTGTTTTGCATCTATGTGTGGTTTGGTTTGAATCTTGCACAAGCTTTACAGCAATGAACGGAGGTTGTGTAGAGTCAGCATTTGGCCAGACTGTCCCTGAAATCAGTAGTCTTAAAAGAGAGGAGTTGTTAAGAAAATAATTAAAACTGATTTTTTAAAAGGAAGCTTGCACTGTCTGTGATGGAGTCGTTATGTGCATTTATTAAGTACACATTTCCACATGCTATCAGAGCTCTTATTTATCCTGCAATCATTAGAATAGCTCATCCTCTGAGAAAGAAGACAGTCTATGTTCTCAAGCATCAAGCATTATAATAAAATTTCCAATCCCCTGAACACTCTGAAATGTATCAAAATAGCATCTTCCAGTTCTCTCCAATGAAAGCTGCCTTTGTATAGTGACTCTAATGCAGCTGCTGTCAAATGAATATGCCTCCAGTGTAAATCAACAAGGATTTTTTGATATTTCAGAGCGCATTTAATTTAAAAAACCCATTTATACAAAATCACCATGACTAACAGTTAACATTAAAATATTTTGTAAAAACTATGAAAAAATTAAATTACTTTTAATTATAAAGAGGACAAAAACATTAACATTTAAGCTTCGCAAAAACCCTTCTTGACTCTTGAAACTAAGAAAACTTTTAATATTATGCGGCCAGTGTAAAATGATTGTATTTACCAATTAATTTTTTTCCAAAAGAGACCTGGCAAAATACATACACCCATTCCATTTCACAACTCCAGTAAAAGTAGCGTTCAAGCACAGATAAAATTTGACAACAGTCAACCTTCAGACTTCCTTTTGCATCCCTCCCCTCCCCCATGATAAGCCCAACATCAACAGGGCTAATATAATCTGAAAAAGTAGCTTTAATATTTGTTAGACTGCAGTATATGTATTTCCAGTAGCACTGCACTGTCTTATAGTTTGAGTAGCTGTAACAATGTGTTCATTGTGAAGAGGATTCAGGAGGCTCTGCTGTACTCCACTCTCGAGTACCGGCTGTAGGCAGCCCACCTGAAAGGCCTGGTTTATTTCAGTCTTCTCTCTCTTTGCTTGTGGCTCTCCAGATTCATCCAGCTCTTCATCTATTTCGCTTTCAACTTCACTGCCTTCATCTGCACAAATAATACACCATGAATCTTGTGCGCTGGAAAAGCCATATTCTCATGCCATATAAGTAGCAATTTTAACAATGCTATAATTAACATTTATTAGGGAATCAGCAGTCCCTTTTGTGACAAAATCCAACACTAAAAAGACTAACTTGTGGATCTACCTAAGCTCCATCTTTCTCCTTGACTCCTTTTTGAACTTAATTTCCTCTCAATATCTGATTAGTCAAATAATTTGCGATTTTGAAAAAATGCCCCTGAAGGTTAATTTGCTTCTGTGATCTTGAATACTGCAGTGTACCATGCTGTTTTCCTTAGTGGGAGTGTATGTGAGCGAAAGGACAGTTCTGCTCATACAAAAAAAAAAAATAGGAGGGAGGAAGCAATTTCCATTCCCAAGGGTCTCTCGGCTGTCTCTTTGAAAAGCATAGGGGGCTTTTCAGTGGGAAAGGAAAGGCAGGAAAGACAGCCCTGTTGTGAGAAATTTTTGGCTGCTGGAGCAGGGGCTGGGGCACTAGGCCAGGGGAATGTGGAACTTAATTAGATTACCCAACAGTATGTGGTGTGGGGGGTAGCAAAGGAAAGAGAAAGAGAGAAGACATGCCTTCTCTCTCTCTCTCCTTTCCCAGCTTCCCCCCCCCCCATGGCAGCAGGGAAGCTGAGGAAGGAAAGGGAAGCTGCCCTTGCCACTTCACTCTGCCCTGTCAATTTCACTCCTCCTCCAATCAGCTGTTAGGTTTAACAGCTGATGGGCAGGGAGTGAAACTGACCAGAAGCAGCAGGGCACTTCTCTTTCCTTCCCCAGCCTCCCCGCTGCTGTGGGAGAGGGGTGGAGGGTCTGGCATCCTCCTGGGGTGAGGCAGAGCTTGTTTATGGTGGGGCTCTGCCACCAAATGCCCTCCCGTGCCTATGGGCCTGGAAAAATCTTTTCCATAAGCACAACTCCACTTGTGGTACTGTCTATTCAAGCCCATAATTATGTTATAAGCATCACAACACTGATTCCAGATTCATTGTGTATGTTTGCATGCAAGTCTAACTCCATAAGGTTTATGAGGGTATTCAACCTTGATCATTCCATCACAGTGTAAAACTCATCCCTCACTTTCATAACCTACAACCAGGCTTTGAACTGATATAGTGGTTCAGCACTATGTCAAGCTTGTCTCAATTTAATTTACATAGCCAATAAATTCAGACGGCCCTTGTGACACGCTACAAATACACTCAAATGCACTACAATTTACGTAATACTAACCTTTGTCCATATTTCCAGGGGACACAGCATTTAAATCACCAAACTGCAGAAGAGAAAATCATGAATGTATACTTCTTTGATATTTTATCCTAATTTGACAACAAAGGCTGCTGTTTTAGTAACAATACCCACAGAAGTAATATGTAGCAAGCTTTATAGCATAAAGGTGTACAACCAATTAGTTATGACACCTTTGAGTATCATAAGTGACCCCTGTGGAGAAATCCCATGCTATAAGATGAACCTAATGCTAAGAACACATTTTTTATTTCTTCATATTTATAGCCTGCCCTTCCCGCAAGCAGGCTCAGGGCAGGTAATAACATATCATCCGTACAATAAAAACAATATTTTGTTAATACAATAAATAATTAAATATTTAGACATTGTCATATACATTCAAATGGTGGTCACAACCCTACAGTAGAAAAATTAACAGTCGGCTCATGGTAAGATTTAAATAATGACCAGCAGTTGTTAAATGGGTGACAAGAACTTCACATAATCCTAACATTTACCACATATTTTAAAATGAAAGTTGACTATGTTGAAGTACCTAGGAATCTATACAGGGTAAAACAGAGAAGGAAAGAAAGGGGAAATGGAGGAAGACAGACTGAATATTTAATAGAAAGCATCAGGCTGCAAAAGCAGCAGCATGAGTTTTATAATGCTTTGTGGATAAACTTAAGGAGCACTTGTTGACTGTTTTGCATTTTTCTTCATAAGACACTGTTCATTTTTTCCCAAGTAATAAAAATATTGTGTAGTATGCACGACAGCTAGAGATTTCCTATCCTTTGGTGTAGTAACCAAGAACATGACATAAGTCAATTTATAAGGACTTCCTTTCAAAATCAAAAAGAGAACTTCTCATTTTCTTAAACTAAAGCAGTTTTTTGATGCAAAATATAAAACCCATGAGAATAAATCAGCTAAAAAGGAGATATCACTATAATGGGAAGCTCCTCTTCGGGAAGAAAACAGTAGCTTTCCTTTGTCTAGGAAGAAGCAATGAAAGAATTCATATGGACTGCCAGAGTGACAACAAAAATATGTAATTTCCTATATGTTTTATTGAAGATGACAGGCTTGAAAGGAATAGCTATTTCAGAACCATACTAATATAGTAGGTAGCATTTATTGTATATGGCTAAAGGCCATAACAATCAACCACACAGAGCATAAAACATAAATAAGATCATTAATATAACTGGACTAGAAGGCGCTTATCAGATTAAAACTTTTCATTCTTCAGATACAACTTTAGACCATTTTTTTGCTGCCAAGGCAAATGATGACACTCTGTGTGACACAAACAAGTCACTATTTGACAGAAGAAAAATCAGCTCCTCTGAAATTAATATGGTGAATTATAAGAGCAAAATACGTTTCAGTGCTCAAAAGTAGGCCAATTCTAAAAAAATATATTAGAAAGCTAACTTTAGCACAATAGTTTTATTTGATTATGTACCTGCCCTCCTTCCAAACTCTGCTATAGTTAACATGCATTCCCCCTAAATGCTACATTGTTAGGTTACACTGTGTTAACTATACACATTTTTGAGAAAGTTATCTCCAGTTCATTTTTATATTAACTAGTAAAGTAATCTACTTGTGGACTTACCTCTCCCATGACTGCAATAGGTGTCTCTCCTGTGGCTTGAGCAACACGATGTTCTACCAAGTAAAACATGTATTCATCATATAACAGACGGATCAGATGAAAAGAACCAAAGCTAGCAGCACTGCGCAAAGTTAAATCTCGAATAACCATTGAGCTGTTCAAAAATGAAAATATGAATGGGAAAACATCATCATTCAATAAACAGTTCAGAAGCCTCTGAAGCATACAAAAATAATTCTCAAACAATTTAGGGGAACACGCTTATTTATATTACATTAGGAAAGTTCTAGGGCTGTGGTGGCTCAAGTGGTTAAGATGCTGAACTGCAGACCGGAAGGTCTGTAGCTCGGCAGTTCAAGACCCTAGTGCCACGTGACGGAGTGAGCTCCCGTCTCTGGCCCCAGCTCCTGCCAACCTAGCAGTTTGAAAGCAAGAACTTGCAAATAGATAAATAGGTACCACGTCGGTGGGAAGGTAACAGGGTTCCGTGCACCTCAACATCTAGTCATGCCAGCCACATTACCACGAAAATGTCTTTGGACAGCGCTGGCTCTTTGGCTTGAAAACAGAGATGAGCCCTAGAGTCGGATTCGACAGGCTTTCGAACAAGGGAAACCTTTACCTTTACTAAGAAAGTTCTACTAAAATGTAAATGTCTCCTCTTTTTCAATCGCTATCATTTATTCTAGAGATATGGGGAAATGGTATAGCAGGTAAGTGGCAGTGGCTGTACGTACTGAGTGGTAAGGAAAATGTATCCTCAGAAGTACAGTAGATTACATCTTTGCATGTAATAGAACATCGATTCACTTGATGAAATAATCCAAATCCTGAGTATCTCTCCTTAAACAGTTTTCGTGTGACTCTTTCCTGAACGTTCCACATGCCTCCCCAGCCTTTGGCTGCCTGAACTGTCGCTTCCATGGTGTGCCAATACAGTGCCTGCGTTGCTCCAGTCCCGCCCACAACAGAAGGGGCGGCCAGCGTCGCCGCCTCAGTGTAGTGCGCGACAACGAGCAGAAAGGATGCTCCGCCCGCCTGACGCTGAGAAGGCTGAAGCTTCCCCCCCTTCTGGCCCTCCCCCCAATGCGGACGAACCACAAAGGGCCCAGGAGGGACTGGGGATGCATTTAAAGCCCTCCTCGCTCCTTCTCTTGCCTGCCCGCTGAAGCGGGCGAGCAGGAGAAGACTCCCAGAGCCCCCTGCCCGCCAAGACAGGTGAGCCAGGAAGGGACTGGGGAGCCATTTAAAGCTCTCCCCACTGCTTCTCCTGCCCGCCCGCCAAAGCGGGCGAGTGGGAGAAGACTCCAAGAGCCCTCCCGTCCCCTTCTGGCCCACCCGCCCAGGCAGGCAAGCCAGGATGGGACCGGGGACACATTTAAAGCCCTCCCCACTGCTTCTCCTGCCTGTCCGCTGAAGCGGGCAAGCAGGAGAAGACTCCCAGAGCCCCCCTGCCCCCTCCTGGCCCACCCGCCAAGGCAGGTGAGCCAGGACGGGACCGGGGATGCATTTAAAGCCCTCCCCACTGCTTCTCCTGCCCACCCGCCAATGCGGGTGAGCAGGAGAAGCCTCCAAGAGGCCCCCCTACACCCTTCTGGCCCACCCACCAATGCAGGTGAGTCAGGAAGGGGGTGAGGGGCCCACCGGCGACTGCTGCAGGACCCCGAACTCACCCACGCCCCCTTCCTAGCACCTGTTGCACTCACCCATGCCCCCTTCCTAGGGCCTTTCTCCTAGTTCAATATAAAGTTCATGGGCCATAGCTGGCTACAGCTGAAGGCCATATGATACCTTTTACGGACCATAAGGATCAGAATTATCTCTATGTAATTTGGGTTCTCATCTTCAGAAGGATATTAGTAATATCTTTCTTCTGGTCAATGACCATCATCCTATAGACACAAACGGACATATACAAGTTAAGTTCCCAAGACTTCATCCCCAACAATTTTATCCTTTTGTTACTCTTGCGTCTCTCCCCTATCTATGCCAAACTTTAAGTGGGAGGCACCTTCAGACATGGGTTTGGTGGGGGGGGGGGCTTAGGTTATAAATTACCATGTATATAGACAACACTGTTATTAATTACTTAGAGTGAATATAACCTATTTAGAACACTTTCAGACACTAACCTGTAGAAGGACCACTTTAAAAGAAACTGCCGTGCTGCTTTAGGAAAACTAGGTCTTCCTTCATATGGTTTCAGTGCTTGCATCATTACATTATCAAGCCAGGCAGCCCACTGCTCCAGAGTGCTCTGCTGCTGAAGAGTCATCTTGAAATCTGTTTCCAACCTCTGTACCATGTTGTCGTCACACTGGCACACCCAGGAAGCCTGCTCCTGTCACAGTACAAAAAGAAGTCAAAAGAAAGAGAAGCACCATACACCTCATGTCAATCATAGGTCTAAAAGTGTACAGAGATTGAATAAATGGAACTTAGCAGTGTGGGTGGCCACAGTAACCAATATGATATATGATCATGAGATTTTTCCAAAATCCTTATGTGAATGGTGCACAGGAACCAGGGAGGAACAGAATTCCTGGTCATATGAATGTGTTTGAATGCTGTTTCTCATCACATATTTGTGGGTTATCTAACTATTTAAAATGGGCCACTATTCTACAAGTTGGCTTGGATAACATTTGCCTACAAAAGCAACAGGTGCATTCATTCTGATACTGATAGATGCTTCAGTGCTTTCCACATTTTTGCCCAGATGTTTTTACAAGGTATGAGACTAGAACATTAAAAGATTCTAAAATGTGGACATATTTTCTTGTAATGAGAATGAGATACAAGCTGTCATATTTGTGTTATGTATACTTTGTATGCATAAACAAAACCATTTTGTGGCATTTTTTCTAGATGAAGCTATGACAGTTAACTCAAAGACTCAAACAGGAAAGAACAATGCCAGGGGTTAAGGGATCCCTCTCCCCTAGACTGAGAACCATCACAAGGAAAGGGAAAGTGGAACTGCCCCGCCACTTTAGGAGGCTGCCACTTGAATTACAGCTGACCAATGGATCTTTGGGGGAGGTCTGGAGGGGGCTACAGCCCAAACATGGCAAAAACAGGTTGCTTACCTGTAACTGGTGATCTTCGAGTGGTCATCTGTGCTTTCACACCCATGGGATCTAGTGCGCACGCGCTGGATCGATCGGCATTGTAGCAAGCTCTTAACGGATTTTCACGCCCAGAGGGGTGGGTGCGGACATCCCGCCAGTTCTTTCAAACCGCCGCAAATCAACCCCTATGAAAAGTGCAGACGCTGACAGCAGCAGGGAAGGAGGGCGGTTGGTGTAAATGCACAGATGACCACTCGAAGATCACCAGTTACAGGTAAGCAACCTGTTTATCTTCGACGTGGTCTCGGTGCTTCACACCCATGGGAGATTAGCGAGCAGAGGCCTACCTAGAATAGGGTGCTGGCAGGTCCTCACTGCGTAGCCGAAGATAGAATGCGACGTCCCATGTCTGTATTAGAGTTCTTACAGATGTCTAGGGCGTAGTGCCTTATGAAGGTATTAGGCATGGCCCAAGTAGCAGCTTTCAATATGTCCGTTAGGGGAACTCCCTGGAGAAAGGCAGTGGAAGCCGCAACAGCTCGAGTTGAATGGGCCCTGATCGGGCCAGGCAATGGCTGTTTGGCAATCAAGTAGCAGAGGCGGATGAGCCCCACAATTCACCTCGAGAGGCGCTGAGCCGTGATGCAAGTCCCCAGTCTTGCTGGTGCATACGAGACGAACAGTTGGGAGTCAGGTCTTGCTGGGCAGGTTCTGTTCAGGTAGAACAGGAGCGCACGCTTCACATCCAAGGTGTGTAACAGTCTGTCCTCTGAGGATGTAGGAGCCGGGAAGAAATCCGGGAGGAAGACCTCTGCCTGTAGGTGGAACTCTGACACTACCTTTGGCAGGAAATGTCAGGTATGATTCAGACACCGTTTGGCAAAAAGGACAAGTAAGGCGTGTCATGTCTGAAAGCCAGTATTTCTCCAACTCGCCTTGCAGAGGTGACAGCAACCAGAAAGGCCGTCTTCCATGACAGGAATTTCAGGTCGCAAGTTGCGAGTGGCTCAAAGGGTTTCCTTGTGAGCTGACGAAGAACTAGAGGAAGGTCCCAGGGAACAACAGGAGTTTTGATGGGAGGGTAAAATGCAACAGTCCCTTTAAAAATGTTTTGAAAGCGGATGCGAAAACAGTGTGCATCCGTCAACTTGAACATGGTAAGCTGAAAGAGCGGCCAAATAAACTCTTAACGAGGAGTGAGAAAGTCCCGAGTCAGCGAGGGACAGGAGGAATTGGAAAACTTTCTCGAGACCCACTGAGGTGGCTCGAGGGGCATTGTTACCCAAGGAGGAACAGAACCTTTGCCACATATAATGGTAGGACTTTCACGTAGTAGGCTTTCTTGCGTTTAGTAAAACATTAGCTACGCGGGTGGAAAAGCTGTTGACGCTTTTCTCCAGGCAGTCAACTTCATTCGTGATACGTCGTGGTACAGGAGAGGGGAGTCGAACAGGAAGAGGAGGTCCTGTGTCGGAGGGAATTGGTGGTAGACCCCTGCTGACAGATTGAGAATGGTGGAGAACCATGGCCACCACGGGGTTATTAGGATGCAGTCTGCTCCGTCGCTGATGATTTGTGGACCACTCTCAGAAGCAGGGGTAGTGGAGGGAAGAGGTAGAGAAGTTCCCGGGACCACGGATAGAGACCGTCCCCTAGAGACTGTGGGTCCCTGCCACCTCGGCTGCAGAACAGAGGGCATTTTTTGTTGGCTCTGGTGGCAAAGACATCGACTTGGGGAACTCCCCACCTGCGGAAGAGTGGGAGGAGGTAGGTTGGGTTCATTTCCCACTCGTGGAGACTGAGGCCTGCTTGACTTAGGTGGTCTGCCTGCACATTCATGTGTCCTGGGATGTGTGTGGCTACCAGGAAAATGTTGTGGGTGATGCAAAGGTTCCACAATTGGATGGCAAGGTTGCAGAGGCGTAGGGAGACAGTGCCCCCTTGCTTGTTGACAAAACTGAATGCAGTAGTGTTGTCCGTGAGGACTGTAACACATTTCCCCTTGATCAGAGGTAGGAAGCTGGTGACAGCAAACTGTATTGCAAGCAGTTCCAGGAAGTTTATGTGCTGCTTCCGTTTCTGTGTGTCCCATTTATCTCCAACACAAAGGCCCATCATGTGGGCACCCCAGCCCGACAGGGAGGCATCCGTGGTCAGGGTGATTTGGGGTGATGGAGGATGGAAGGGTGCTCCCTGGAAGAGATTGGAAGGGACAGTCCACCAAAGTAAAGACTCTTGTATATTGGGAGGGGGGGTTAGGACGGTGGTATGTGCGTTTCCCGTTGGGTCGAAGTTGCGGATAAACCATAGTTGCAGGTGTCACATTTTTAGTTTGGCAAAGACCAGGACCAACGTAGTTGGAGCCGTAAGGCCAAGCAGCCTCTGCATTTCGAAGGCCGTGACTGAAGGTTGGGTACGGACGGCAGTGGCTAGGTGGATGATGTCTGCCGCTCTGTTTTTTGGCAGGTAAGCCATGCATGTCTTGGAATCCAGTAGAGCACCAATGTATTGTACTCTCTGGACCGGTTGAAGTTGAGACTTTTCCCGATTGACTTGCAGGCCCATGTTCTCCAGGAGTGCCAGTGTCTCGTTGATGTTTGAGACCAGGGTGTCCCTGGAGGATGCTACCAGGAGCCAATCATCGATGTACGGGTAGATGGAGATACCCTTGAGGCGGAGGAAGGCCGCAATGACAATCATAGTCTTTGTGAAGACTCTTGGGGCGCTTGAGAGGCCGAATGGCAGGGCTGCATATTGGTAATGCTGTTGACCAATTGCGAAGCGTAGGTATTGGTGGTGGGAGGGGTGGATGGTGAGGTGGAAGTACGCGTCTTGGAGGTCGAGGGTAGCCATCCAGACGTTTCTCTGCAGGAGTGGCATAATCTGCTGCAATGACACCATGTGGAAGCGGTGGTAGTTAACATAGCAGTTCAACGCCCTTAGATCTAATATAGGTTGAACACCTCCATCTCGCTTTGGAACCATAAAATAGCGGGAATAGAAGCCCTTCCCGTGTAGACATGGTGGTACCGACTCGATGGCTCCTTTGTGCAGAAGGACAGACACCTCCTCTAGGAGAGGTGGGGAAGGGTGTGTGGAGACGACGACAGGTGCAATGGGGTTCTGGTGGAATTGGATACGGTAGCCTCGGGTCACGATGGAGAGCACCCATTCGTCTGTGGTGATATGACGGCAGGTGTGAAGGAAGGGAGAAAGACGGGTTTGAGCTTACTCGGTGGGAGGGAAGTAAAAAACCCTGCTTGGAAGACTTCGCCTGCTTGGTGCAAGACAACTGCTGTCCGGATCCAAACCTGGGTTTTTGAAAAGTTGGTTTTTGGCCTCTCAAAGACGTACGTGGTCTCCATTGTCTGTCAGGAGACTGACGATTCGGGGTGCGTCTTTGCCAGGGCCTAGACCAGGTGCAAGGGCGATATTGCTGCCTCGTGGAAGATGACACTCCTAGAGCGCGAGAGGCCTTTATGCTCTTATCCATATCTTGGAGTATGGTATCGGTAGTGCTGTTGAAGAGACCAAGGCCATTGAAGGAAAGGTCTTCGACATAAGACCTAGTATCTTGAGAGAGATTGGTATTACGGAGCCAGAAATGCCGTCTTAGAGCTATTGCTGAGGCCATTATTCTCGAAGAAGTGTCTAGGGCATGTTTGGAAGTGTTGATCTGCTGCTTCGCTAGTACCATGCCCTCCTTCTGGATAATTCTGGCTGCCTGGAGCTTGTCTTCGGGGAGGTGTGTCAGGAGTTCAGAGAACCTTTCCCAAAGAGTGTACTGATACCTGCTCATGCATGAGCAGGTATCAGTACACTCTTTGGGAAAGGTTCTCTGAACTCCTGACACACCTCCCCGAAGACAAGCTCCAGGCAGCTAAATAATTTGTAGTTTTAACTCCCAATGCTCCCGTGGAATAGAAGCGTCTCCCAAACGCATCCAATTTTCTGCTTTCCCTGTCAGAAGGTGCAGAGTGTGTTCGTTTTGATTTGGACGAGGATGTAACAACCATCAAGGTTGGCTGAGGGTGGGAAAATAAAAATTTAGCTCCGGTCTTCTGGACTCTGTACATGTGGTCCAGGCGTCTTGTTGACACTGGGGCCGATTAAGGCTTCTCCCATGGTGTTTTTGCAGCTTGTAGAAGGACCGCAGTCATGGGCAGTGCAATGGTAGTAGAGGTATCTAGTTGCACGATATCGAAAATGGCATCTGTAACCTGAGGTTGGTCTTGAACGACTGAGAGGCCTAGAGAATGGGCCATTCTTTTCACGAGGTCTGCATAGGACGTGAGATTGTCAGATGGAGATATAGGGAGATCATCTGCGACAGCTTGGTTAGGAGATTTATGGTCAGGAGAGGTGTCAACCTCAGAGGCCTCAGTATCAGAATCCTCTTCTGCGGAATTAGAGGAGTCCTGATCTGGCACTTGAATATGAGTGACTTCCGTTTGAGTAGTTGAAATCTTTGGTGGTACAACTTGGGGGTTGGGACAACAAAGTTCCGGATTATGGTGGGAAGGATCGTCTGCCGGAGGACGAGACAGAGATGCTGAAGGTCTGGATTTGTAGGGTGACCTTGATCTGTGGACAGAATGGGTCGAGTACCGATCCCAGTCTGAATAGCCCGCTGCAGTCAACCACAGCATGGATAGTGGATAACCCGCGTAGAGATACTTCAGCTGGCGTTGATCCCAAGACAGAGGTGGTGGTGGGGGAGTAAAGACTCAGGGGGATCAACTTCTGGAAAGGGCATGTCTCGGAGACAAAGGAGCATCTTGTCTGTGAGAGCGGTCCCTATAATCTCGGTCACTGATATTGGCAGGTTCAAGAAGCAGATGTGGAGGGTGACGCTGCGTGCTGCTAGAAGCGTGTCGATTCCGACGTGAATCGATGCCGGGAGCCTCTGACACCGTCGATGTCGATGATGGGGAAGGAGAGGGAGAAGCCTCTGCATCCACAGGATGAGTAAGGAGCTGTACCGTCTCGATATCAGAGTAAGGACGGTTCTCTAATTGTTGTATAGGGGAATCCAGTAGGTGAATGGTCGGTATCGGTGGAGGGGCATGGACCTCCAATGTCGATACTGCCGTTGGAGCGGGAAGCACTTTTGGGGCATCACCCAGTGCAGGCATCGCTACCTTCCCCTTCTTTGGCACCTTTAGGGACTTAGAGGAGCACTTTTTTGCAGACTTGTGCTCCTTACTTGCCTTGGGCTTCTTCTTCACCCGAGTGGAAGCGGAGGATTGCACCTTCGATGCCAGTGGTTTCGATGTTGGTTGGCTGATGTCAGAGGCAGGCCTCAATGCTGGAGCCGTCGCCGTCGATGGTCTCTCGGACTCCATCGCTGAGGGAGGATGTAAAGCCGACTCAAGGAGCGCCAATTTAAGGCGCGCAGCTCAGTTTTTTCGTGTCTAGTTAGAAAACTTGGCACAGTGCCAGCAAGACTCAGGTCGATGAGATTCCCCCAAACAAAAAATACAAAGGGTGTGGCGGTCAGGTGGAGCAACTGAGGAAAAAACCCAAAGAGCCGTGAGGCGAAGAAGCCAAAAAAGCGAACCGATCAGACGGACGAAGAAAGGGTCTTTCCACCGCGGTGGTAAGAAAGGAACTGGCGGGATGCCCGCGCCCACCCCTCTGGGCATGCGTGGTGGGGTTCCTGTGCATGCCTGAGGTCTGGGCACGAAAATCCGTTAAGAGCTTGCTACAATGCCGATCAATCCAGCACGTGTGCACTAGATCCCATGGGTGTGAAGCACAGAGACCACGTTGAAGATCAAAGTAGTTACCAGCTCAGAGAATGATGGACATGGAGAGACAGACAGATCTCGGTAGATGTCCTAAGTTTAGAGCCCCAGATTCTGTCAAATATCACTTGCAACCCATGTCCTATTTATCACAGTTTGATACTCACAAGTTTAGGAAAACCTTCACATTAGCCAGATGTGAGGCTTTCCCCTCCGCGATGCTTGAGGGCATATTCAAAAGGATCCCTACTGAATATAGACTTTGTCGATGCGGCTCAGGAGAGATAGAAACTATTGAGCACATGATGCTCAGGTGTAACCAGTTTAACAAGATCCATGACAAGTACATTACTCCTCTTATAACGGATATGGTGGGACAATCAGGTGCTGAGCAGTGTAACCAATTGTTAATTGATGGGAACCGGACAATTACCGAAACTGTGGCAAAATTTTGGGTAGCATGCTACTGCATCTGAAATACACAATCAAATATATAATAATAGTTGCCTAATAGTCTCTGTTTTATGTTCTTCCTTTACTTTATTACGCTCAACTGTATTTTTATAGAGTTTTATTTTACTGTCCAAAATTCAGTTATATGAATGTTATATTTAAGCATGTGTGTTCTATGGCTTGTTGCCGTAATAAATGCCTGATTGACTGACTAGTTACCAGCTGCTCATGAGGACCACTATCTGGGAGATATGCATGAGTTACAATGCTGCCTTTAAAAGGGCTGGTGAGCAGTTCTGTGACTGTGCACTTCAGGCTGTACAGGAAGGGAGCCAGTGAGAGAAGGAGGAATCATGGTGTACTCAGACCCCCTCTCTTCTCTTTCTAAGGCCAATTAGGGCAGTGTCCTCCTAGAGCAAAGGCAATAGGGAAGTAAGGGTCTGAGCCTCCCTCCCAGAACACATATATGTTGTAATATTCCAGCATACCTGGACATTGGCAAAATCAACACGGTTGAGGTCATTGAGCATCTGGTTGATTTGAGAAGTATTCTGCAGCACAGCACGAGCCGCCTGAGCCAGGTGATTAAGAGATGTGTATCTTCGCAGAGTCTGAGCAAAGGCACTTACAGCGGCAACCTAGGAAGACAGAGAAGTTAAAATGCATGTGAAAGCAGAAGTTAAAATCTGTTTTCACAGATAGGCCAGCAAATTTCCCCAAAAGACTTGCCATTGCTGTGAAATGTATTTTTCACTCTTTTTATTGACATTCTCTTAAAAAGAAAAATGATGACACATGTACAATGCAGCCACATGTGTAGTAAGCTTGGCTTTGAGCCATTCAATCTTTCATGAGATAAGGTAAGTCAAAGCAAGAACTCAGCATTTGAAATTAGCAAAATCCAACAAACTTGAATCCTGAAAGAATTTACACAATCTCTTGGACAAATACAACACCAATGTATCATGTAAAGCAGGGGTCCTCAATCTGCGACCCACAGGCCACATGAAGCCCCCAACCTGCTTGTTTGCTGCTATCACCCTATAGGCATTTTCCTTCAGACCCATCCTGTTCTTGCTGCCTCAAGAGGCACCATCTACTGCTGTTCTTCCTGTCCTTTTCTTGCAAAAAATACAGTAGCAACATTGTTTCCTCTGGTCTCCATGGTTCCTTCTGCCAGACCCCTCTTGGTCTTATCCTTCATACTAGCATTTTGGCCATTCTACGTGCTTTGCTAGTCAGCAAAGTCAAGTACCTGTACCACTCAGCTTTTTCACTCCCCCTCTCCATGCATTACCATGTTGAATGCTATATATCAGGGGTGTATCAGGCTCCTATATAGCCTGTGAGCAAATGGCTTTCTGCTGCTTCCTGTTTCCTTCATTGCAGCTGCTTTTGCCCAGTCTCTATTTCCTGCTTTGGAGAGGAGAGAAAGAAGAGAAGAAGGAGAGACCTCCCTTCCCTCGATTGGCTGAGGGCTCCTCCCCCTCCAGGGAGGGAGGAGGAGGGTAAGAGCCAGAGAGAGAGACCATGACCGCGACTTGGTGAGTGGATCCTTGGGAAGGAGTATTCTCTTAGCAGGGAAGCTTATGGGATTCTCCTTCCCATATCTTCCTCCAGCCAAGTTCCCCTCCACCTGGCTGCTATTTTGCTTCTCATGAATGAGGCTTTGCTGGCATGCAGTGATGTGTATGTGCACCCTGCATACAATTTGAAGCCAATTTAATGGCATACCCTTTGCTACAGGTGAGAGGCTGCCCTTTCATTCGCTCTTTCTCTCTACCTGCCCTTTTTGGGAGGACCACCAATTTCTAAAGTATTAGCATGTATATATTTAAATCTCAAGGCAGTGTGTTTATTAAGAAATAATTCTCATAGTATTCAATGTACTTAGGTCATATTCATAATCCATTTAAAAAAATTCTTCCTAGACTATGCATATGGTCCAATACTCCTGAGAACTGTTGTGGTTAGGGAGGCAGGGGTCTCTTCTCTTCTTTGCCATGGTCGAAATGAAAATCCCCAGCTAATAGCAAGCTAGAGTGGGGTGGATTTGAATTGGAAAGGGAAGGGTTAGGCCCCTAAAACTATACTTCTCATATTTTTATTTAATTAAGGATTAGTCAAGGATTATATTGAAACTCTGCAACTGCTGCTCTGCTAAAAATTCTGTAAGAAGATATCTGCAAAAGAAAGTGCTGTTTCAAAGAAACTAAAAATTGCAGATGAGCACCGTGTCTTTAATAATAAATGGACTACTACTTCTCTGTTTTAAACAAGAATAAAGCAGTTTGCCTGATATGTCTTGAAACTGACTCAGTATTAAAGGAGTACAAAGTTAAAAAGCACTCTGAATCCTGTCACAAGAGCTACTCAATATATCAAGAAGAGGTGTGAGTTAACAATTAAATCTCTTAAAAATCAATGTTTTTGCAGCAAAATCGTTTTAGAGAGCACATTGAGCAGAACCTGTGTACTGTGAGGGCCTGCTATCATGTTGCTAAATGTATTGCTAAGAATGGTAGACCAAAATGGAGGAAATGTGCCCTGGTAAGGTATCTTGTGTTAGTTGTGTCAGTTTATCTGCATCTTAAATCACCAGGCATGTTGAGGTACTAGTAGAAAGAGCTGCATAGGTCTCTGATAGTCAAGGCAAAAAGTTTTGATTTTTTCCCCTTTAGCATTAGATGAGAGAAATTACATTATAGAAATTATGCAAGTAGTAATTTTTATCAGGGGGATAGATTCCAACTTCAGAATTATAGAAGAGCTGTGTGCACTACAGAGTTTGAAAAACACTACAACTGCAGAAAACATATTCTTGAAGGTGTGTAAATTAGTAGAAAATCTTGGTCTGAGTTGGGATAAATTGAAAAGTACCACAACCAATGTTCCCTCTAAGCTGTGGAGTCTTGTGAGCAAAAATTCTACTTTATGAGCTACTGGCATGAAAGTTGTGAGCAAGTGATTTGGGTACTGCATAAATTAGTTTGCTCTAAAGCCATCCTTACTGAGCTAAGACAAAAATATGTGAGCCAGAGGCTAAAAAACTGTGAGCTAGCTCACACTAACTCAGCTTAGAGGGAACACTGACCACAACTGATGGTGCAAGAAATATGGCGGGAAGTAAAACTGGTGTAGTTGCAAGAGTCAATGATGAGATACTGAAATTATATGGTACACTTCCTGTGAAATTTCACTGCATCATCCATCAGCAAGATTTGTGTAGTAAGATTCTTCAGTGGGAAAGCATGGTGCATATGGATGTATCCAGCATTAATTACATCGGGCATCATGGCCTTACTCATCGTCAGTTTCAAAAATTTATCTCAGAGATAGATGCAGAATACGGAAATGTATTATACCATGCAGAAGTCAGGTGGCTTAGCAGAGGCAAAGTTCTCAAACATTTTTTCATTCTTCAACATGAAGTTTATGTCTTTCTCAAGGAGAAAGGAAAAGGTCAAGAAGTACTTTCTGACCCTGAATGGATTTTTGATTTGGCTTCCTTAACTGATATCACAGAGCATCCGAACACACTGAATCTAAGGTTGCAGGGGAAAGGAAAGCTTGTGTGTGACATGTATTCTGAATTGAAAGCTTTTGAAGCAAAATTAAACGTTTTTGTGAAGCAAGAGTTAGTGAAGGTAACTTTTCAAACTTCTCAAGCTGCAATGTACAAAAATTTGAGAAGGAATTTACAATTCAATGTTAAAAGACGCATCAAAGCACTGAACCCATTGCAGGTGGAATTCCAGAACAGATCCACTGAAAGCATGGAAAGGAAATAAGAAAGTTTCAGAATCCATTTGAAGTAGCACCAGAAGATGCAAGTAACTTTTTTAGATGGAACTAATTGATTTGCAAGCCAGTGATCATCTCAGAGACATTTACAAAGTAAATAGTCTGTTAGATTTCTTTTCCACTCTTTTCCACTCTACATGATATATTTACCAACCTAAAGAAATTTGCTGCAGGCATGTTCACAGTCTTTGGCACCACATACATCTGTGAACAAACTTTTTCCAAAATGAAAATTGTGAAATCCAAGTGTAGGTCAAGACTTACAGATGAACATTTACATGACATTTTAAGGTGTCTGTCACAAACCCTGACTTGGACATTAATGCCTTGGTTAACAGAAAGCAGACACAAAAATCACACTGACTAAGTAAGCATGTGTACCTAGATAAAAGGATTCCACATTAAAATATTGTTCCAAAATATATTGTGTTCAATATATTGATGTAAAGTGTCCCTTGAACTGGGATTTTGGACATCTGTAGAGGAATCTGAGGTTTGTGGGAATATTAAAGACATCATAGACTGCCAGAAAACATTTAATACAAATCTGTATTACATAAAAATGAAGACTACATTCTATATTTTTTTTAAAAAGAGGGTGCTTTTGACATTGGCTCTCTGTAATTGTGACAGAGGAATTAACAATAATGTTTTACTAGTGTTTCATAATGCCCTTTTTGTTCCCAATAACATAGAAGGTAAGAATAACTCTTCAGTTTACCTTGGTTTGAATCATTCTCTGTGGAATATTGTTCATGGCATTGGAAAGCCAACCTTCAAGGCTTTTTGCAAAATTGCGAATGGCTTGGGTCAAGGCACCTATGCGTGAAAGAATATAAAACAAATGAAAAAAATCAAGGCATGCATGTATTGAAAGATTCTTGTCCTTGAATATTACAACTACATAGTAGACAGAGGCAGTTTCTGCTAGTAGAAATATAATTATCACAACTGAACAAATGCTGATGCATAGTTCTAATCACTTTAGGACCAATGAAGAGAAATAAAGAATTTCAAGTAGAACACTATCCCTATAAAGTCTCAGTCTAATAAATTACATAGTCTTAAACTTAGCTTTCACTGAAGAGGTAAACCTGTGTTTCGGATAAACCACTATAGACTTCAGGTAGTTTCTTTTGTTTGAGAAGCATTCAATGACATGATCTCCACCTGCAGGCTTAGACACAAATTCACCCCCACAGTGACAACTAGGTCCTGGATAAAAGTAGTTTATTATGCTGTAATTTCACAGCAGGTAAAGGAGTAATCATAGTACATAGTAAGTGTACTATTACATGAAGGCATAGAACTTGGTCCTGCTGTGGAGTTGCAATGTAATACGTGATCAACTATTATCTATGATGGAATATTTTGATACTTACTGGTATAAACACAGTACCAGCTTTTGGATATCATGTATTTATACTGACATGATATGTGATTTAATCTGATGCAGTATTTCTATTAAGTATTTTGATACTGACCAGTACTATGCACCATAATTTGAGATTCCACAGTGATTATTACAGCTAATGTTCCCTCCTTTCTCTGTGCAGTTCTTAGCTTTGGGGGTCTCTCTTTGCCTTTATCTTTGTTCTAGCACTTCAATATTAGCCTGCACAGCTAAGAATCAATGTTTTTCATGCTTGAAATACTTCATCCATATTTTCAAATACATGAAGTATTCAGTTTTTAAAGCTGGCATGAATAACCAGCCAGTCATGCCAGGACTCTTTCAATATCTATGGAACACAAGCAAGAGAGCTACTTCAGAGGCATTAAATGGTTTACACATACCCAATAAGACTTCTAACCATTTTTCTATGAAGAGTAGACCACATGTTCCAAAACACAAATATAAACCTACAGTATATCAGAAACTGCTTAAGGAAACACCCCTGAGGGTTCAAAATGATTTCCTGTTAGTTTAGAAGTGGCTGCTTTTAAAAAAAATCAAGTCAGCATCCCTGTTGGGGACATGAAGCATGTCATACGATTCTTTGAAATAAGGTTCATGAAGAAGAGAAGCCACTAAAGTAGTTCTCCTGATGTGCTTAAATTTGCCTAAAATGTAAAGTTCCAGTTCAAATATTTCTTTCTCCTAATGATGTTAGAAGATCCTTAAATGTGTACACCTGAACACACGAACACTCGCATTTCTGAACTATACCCAGTCACTAGCGTGCAGTCTTGAGTTCCCAAAATATAACCATATACTTAACTGATTGGAAGGGGAGTAAACATCTATCACCATGGGGTGTCATTATGTCTCACTAATTATACATTCAACAAAGGCATTTGAGCTTTAATGAGTTTTCTATAACATTGTCCCAATGAAAGTGATGGATGCTAGCCTATCTTAGCTGAGTAAGTTCTTAACACAAGATAAGTAATTGAACAAAGACATACTTTCATTGGGATAATGACTAATGGACTCCAGCTTCATAGTCAGGAAATTTTTGGTGGGGGGGCCAAGACGGGACATGGCATTTAGCACACCAGTAAGTTAATTAGATACATTAATTAAATTACCACACTGTCTAATCAAATTAACAGACCTAATTGAATTAGCACTGTGGAAAGCCCACCCCTCCCTCCCCTCCTACTCAGCTGCAGCTCCTTACCTCCTTGGGCAGTCCTTCCCCAACGCATGGCCATGCAGGAGGGGAGGGAGAGGGGTGGCTGTGTGGAATGGCCTGCTCCAGTGCCTCACTGTGCCTGTGCAGGTGCAGTGAGGCATAGGACGAGCCATTTCAATACACAAAGCCATGTGGTCCAGCACTGGGAGGCCTGAGGGCTTCCTCCCCCTCTGCCACCTCCTCCTGTGGGCTGGTGAGTGAGGGGGAGAAGCATGGTGAAGGAGAAGCCCAGTATCCTCTGGTGAAGAGTGGTCAAGCAGGTGGTGGCGGTTCACAGTAGTATTATATTGCTACCAATCTCACCACAAGAGAGAGATTGGTAGCGAGATAATACTATTGGGAGCCGCTGCTGCCTGCCTGCCCGCTGCTGCCTGCCCAAAACTGAGGGACCCATACAGAGGGGTGTGGCATCCTCCTGGGGGTGAGCTGAGGGACCCTGTGGAGCAACAATCAATGAGAAGGCGGGAAAAACTGGCTACACATACACCCTGGGTACACACTTGAGCTTCTTCAGATTACAGCCTACATGAGGGATTCTCTGCATATAATATGTTTAGCATGCTATGATAAATAAAACACTAACTAAACATTAATCATTAGTAACTGGTTTGAAAACTATGGTTTCTAAATGAAGCCTGAATACCTATCCCCAACACACTTGCTCTTTGAACCTCTTTGTTAAAACCATAAACATACAGCCCCCCAAATTTTTGCAAATATGTAACTATGCATTAACACTTATTCTATTTATTTCCTTCATTCTAATATTACGGTTACAAACTACTTGCTTTGGAGGTTGTGCCTATGGTCAAATTAAATCACAATGGAACAAATGGCAATAATAGCAGAATCTTATGGTAGGACCAGTTAAAGTCACAAATATGGACATCACACTAATCATGCTGTTTGGATTTTTATTTTTATTTAAAAAAAAAAAAACAGTCCTATATGACTGCCTGCATTTCTAAAAAATTCAATAGAAAAATTGTTTTTAGGTTACAGTTTATACCCTAGGAGGACAAGAAATTACATTCAAGTAATGCTGCATAGTTGTCTCAGCAAGGACAATATTACCTAACATTGAACAAAAAGCTCTAATCTGTTTTCACATTATCATACAGGAGATGGTGGGGGAGGGGAGAATAAGAAACCATACTTCTATCAGGAATTTAGCACTTGCAAAGAAATGTTTCCCCCCCGACAACCAAATGATTAAAATATCAAATTAGCACAAAATTATTTTGCAGGTTTCTAAAGATGTTTACATTTTAAATCAATCAAAATAAATTATGTGACTATATTGTTTCAAGCCAATGAGTGCATCTAGATTTGTACCAATGTTTCAATCTAATTCAAGTATGTAAAAAGATTTCATTTTACTGGCATTTGTATTAACCATCTGCCTTGAGTCTCAGTGAGAAATGTAGCCTATAAAGTAAGCAAGTAAATAAACCAATAAATAACTAACCTGTTCTTTTCTGTCTCCTTAAAGCAGAAGGCTCTAGTTTATTTACTCATCCTTTCCCTCATCCCTACATAACTATAATTATCTTCTTTGTTTCATCCTCGTTTCCATTCTTGCTTGTTTGGTTTTCCCAATATCTCATTTTGTTCACATTTCTCCTCTGTAACACTGTGTTGACTGACTTCTGTTACCTTAGACTAAATTTTTAATTATTTGATTTCAAATCACTTTGGCCCATCTTATCTTTTTTTCCTCTTCAGTTGCCCCTTTGTTGTCTCTTCTATTACTATTTTCTACTAGTACTTTCACTCTTAGTTAAATTTAGGATTACTACTACTATTTCATACTTCCGCCTTTCCCCCACTTGCTGCCCTCTTTCTCTGAAATTCACTATTATTTAAATACAGCTCGGAAACACACTTTTCTCCCTAGTTTTGTCCCTTTTCTTTCCTTCTTCCTATTCCTTGTGCTCTCTTCCACTGGAGAAAGGCTTCATCACTAGAAGAATGGAAACTCAGATCAAAACCAGTATGTTTTGTGATTTCAAAAGCTCTACAACTGGAAGTTGTAGGAAGTCAAAAGGTAACCAGAATAACAGACAAGTTTGGCCTTGGAGAACAAAATGAAGCAGGGCAGGAGAACACACTGGTCATAGCAAACACCCTTTTCCAACAACCGAAGAGGCGACTCTACACATGGACATCACCAGATGGGCAACACCAAAATCAGATTGACTATATAATTTGCAGACAAAGATGGAGAAGCTTTATCCAGTCAGTAAAAACAAGACCTGGAGCTGACTGTGGCTCAGATCATGAGCTACTCATTGAAAAATTCGGACTTAAACTGAAGAAAATTGGGAAAACCACTAGGCCATTCAGGTTTGACCTAGATCACATCCCTGATGAATATACAGTAGAGGTGAAGAATAGATTCAAGGGACTAAATTTGATAGATAGAGTGCCTGAAGAACTATGGACAGAGGTTCGTGACATTGTACAGGAGGCAGCAATCACCACCATCCCAAAGAAAAAGAAATGCAAAAAAGCAAAGTGGCTGTCTGATGAGGCTTTACAAATAGCAGAGAAAAGAAGGAAAGCGAAAGGCAAAGGCAAAAAGGAAAGATTTACCCAACTGAATGCAGATTTCCAAAGAACAGCAAGGAGAGATAAGAAGGCCTTCCTGAATGAACAATGCAAAGTAATAGAGGAAAACAATAGAATGGGAAGGACTAGAGATCTCTTTAAGAAAATGAGAGAAATCAAGGGAACGTTCCATGCAAAGCTGACCATGATAAAGGACAAAAACGGTAGGAACCTAACAGAAGCAGAAGAGATTAGGAAAAGATGGCAAGAATACACAGAAGAACTATACAAGACCTCGATGTCCTTTACAACCACGATGGTATAATCACTGACCTCGAGCCAGACATCCTGGAATGTGACGTTAAATAGGCCTTAGAAAGCATTACTAACAAAAAAGCTAGTGGAGGTGATGGTATCCCAGCTGAAGCCTTTGACTGTGTGGATCACAACAAACTATGGCAGGGCCTTAAAGAGATGGGAGTACCAGACCACCTCACATGTCTCTTGAGAAACCTGTATAAGGGCCAAGAAGCGACAGTTAGAACCGGATATGGAACAACTGATTGGTTCAGCATAGGAAAAGGAGTACGACAAGGATGTATATTGTCGCCTTGCTTATTTAATATATAT